AAGGAAGACAGTAAAAGAGGAAAATAGAGATAAAAAAGCTACAAGACAGAAAGAAATAATTAACAAATGGCAACAGTAAGTCCTTTCCTATCAGTAATTACTTTAAGTGTAAATGGATAAAACTGTCCAATCAAAAGACATAGCCAGGCTAAGTGGATTAAAAACACAAGGTCCAACTATATGCTGTCTATTGTGTATATGGCTCAGTTGTGTCCAACTCTTTGCAACCCCATGGACTATAACCCATCAGGCTCCGCTGTCCATGGGATTTTCCAGGCAAGAGTACTGATGTGAGTTGCCAAGGGTATCTTCCTGACACAGGAATCAAACCCACATCTCAGGCATCTCCTGCACTGGCAGGTGGATCCTTTACCACTGAGCCACCTGGAAAGCTCATATACTGTCTATAGGAGACTCTAGATTCATGAACACATACAAGATGAAACTGAAAGAATGAGAAAAGATATTCTGTGTAAATGGTCCAAAAACAGACAGCTGGATGAATGAGATCCCTCACTCTCCCTACCCCGCCCTCCCTCTCCCCCCAAACACACACACACACACGAGTACTACTCAGCCGTAAAAAAGTACGAAATGCTGTCATCTGCAGAAACACAGATAGATCCAGAGACTATTATACTTGGTGAAATAAGTCAAGACAGAAAAAGACAAATAATATATGATATCACTTATATGTGGAATCTAAAAAATCTAATACAAATGAATGTATATACAAAACAGAAAGAGACCCAAAGACATAGAAAAACTTATGGCTAAAAATGGGGAGAGGGAGACAGGGAAGAAAAATTAGGAGTATGGGATTAACACACTAATGTACATGAAATAAATAAACTGTATAGCACTGGGAATTACACCCAATACATTTTAATAATCTATAGGGGAACATAATCTACAAAAACACTGAAACACTATACGGCACACCTGAAGTTAACACAATACTGTAAATCAATTATACTTCAATTTAAGGGGAAAAAAGGGGAAAATGTAGCAAGAAAATACTATATAATGCTAAAAGAAGCAATTCACCAGGAGGATTTCTCAAGAGAGCATATATATACTCAACAGCAAAGAACCCAATTTACAAAGCAAACAAGGAAAGAATGAGGGGGAGAAATATACAACACAAAAACAGCAGAGGATTTCAATAATGGATAAAACTTCCACAGAGAAGGTCAGTCAGGACTTGAACAAAAATTGTAGACAAAATGGAACTAACAGACATGTACAAAATTTAACACCCAACAGCACCATAATACACATTCTTCTTAAGCACATATGGAACATGATCAGGACAGATAATAAATTTAAGAAGAAAAGCATAAAGGAAAGTGCTGCTGACTTTCAGTTTCATTATACAGTGGTTGGAAAATATAGGTGGGAAGATTTCAGTCTTCTTTAATCTGTTAACTTGTTTGTAACCTAATACGTCAGGATACCCTGGCAGCTCAGAGGTAAAGAATCCACCTGCAAACACAAGAGATGCAGGTTTGATCCCTAGTTCAGGAAGATCCTCAGGAAAAGGAAACAGTAACCCGCTCTAGTAATCTTGTCTGGGAAATCTCATGCCATAAAGGAGCCTGGCGGGTTACAGACCATGGGGTCACAAAAGGTGGACATGACTTAGTGACTAAACAACCACCACCACCTAATATGTTCTCTATACCAGAAAATTCAAAACTATGTAGATATTAAACAATTTAATGCTTGAACAACCAACAGGCCAAAGAAGAAATAAAGAGAAGTAGAAAATATTATCAGACAAATGAAAACATAACATTACCAAAACTTATGGAAAGCAGTACTAAGAAGAAAGTTTCTAGCAATAGATGCCTACATTTTAAAAAGTAGAAAGATCTCAAATAAAACAATACTAAAATTCATATGGAACCACAAAGGACCCTAATAGCCAAAACAATATTGAGAAAGAATGAAACTTGAGGCTTCACACTTACTGACTTCAAGAAATTTTACAAAGTAATCAAAACAGCCCAGGACTGGCATAAAGAGGAGAATAAAATAAAGTCAGAATAAAACCCACACGTAAGTCAAATGATCTTTGACAAGGGTACCAAGTCTACATTATACGAATCTCTTTAACAAATAGTGTAGGCAAAATTGGATAGCCACATGCAAAAGAATGAAATTAGACCTTTATCATACACCATACCCCAAAATTAACTCAAAATGGGTTAAAAATCTGAAACTGCAAAATTCAGAGAAGAAAACATAAAGACAAAACTCCATAATATTGACCTTGGAAATGATTTCTTGGATATGACACCAGAAGCATAGACAACAAATATAAACATAGACTAGTGGGACTAAATTAAACTAAAAAGCTTCTGTACAGTAAAAGAAATAACAGAGTAAAAGGAACCTATAGAATGGGAGAAAATATTTGCAAACTACATATCTGTTATGGGGTTAATATTCAAAACAAAGAAATTCACAACTAAACAGCAATAAAGTTAAATAACCCAATTTAAAACTTGGCAAAGGACTTGAATAGACATTTCTCCAAAGACATACAAATGATCAACAGCTATATAAAAAGATGCTCAATCATCATGAACTGCAAATCAAAACTACAATGAGATATCACTCATACATGTTAAGATGATCATTATAAAAACAGAAACAAAATATCAGAAAATAACAAGCGCTGGTAACATGGAGAAATTGGAAGGAATCCTTGTGTACTATTGCTGGAAATGTAAAATGTTCAGCCACTGTGCAAGAGTATAGAAGCTGCCCAAACATTAAAAAGAGAAATAACATATGATCCAGCAAGGCCACTTCTGTGTATTAATCCAAAAGAACATACCTAAAAGTCTATTGACAGACGAATGGATAAGGAAGATGTGGTACCTATATACAATGGAATATTTGTTGTTGTTTAGTCCCTAAGTCGTGTCTGATTCTTTGCGATCACATGGGCTGGAGCCGACCATGATTCTCTGTCCATGGTATTTCCCAGGCAAGAATACTGGAATGGGTTGCCATTTCCTTCTCCAGGGGATCTTCCTGACCCAGAGATTGAACCCATGTCTCCTGTACTGGCAGGCGGATTTTTTTACTGCTGAGCTACTAGGGAAGCTCTAGTACAATACTATTATTCAGCCATATAAAACAGTGAAATAATGCCATTTGCAGCAACATTGATGGACCTAGAGATTATCATACTAAGTGAAGTGAGGCAAATATCATATGATATCATTTATATGTGGAATCTACTTTTTAAAAAAAAGAAATGAATGTATTTACAAACCAGAAATGAACATACAGATACTGAAAGCAAACTTATAGTTAGTAAAGGGGAAATGGGGAGGGGTGGCAATAAACTAGAACCCTGGAATGAACACACATACACTACTATATATAAGATATTAACAGATAACCAACAAGGATCTACTGTATAGCACAGGGAACTCTACTCAATATTCTGTGATAGCCTATATGAGAAAAGAATCTTAAAAAAAAAAAAGAATATATATATACACATATAACTGAATCACTTTTGCTGTACACCTAAAACTAACACAACACTGTAAATCAACTATACTCCAATAAAATGAAATATAGAAAACAAAAACAAAAAAAACAGAGGAAAAAACCCCCCCACACACACAAAGAATTGAAAGTAGTGTCTAAAGAGATACTTGCAACCCCATGTTCACGGCAGCCTTATTTAAATAGCCAAGAGGTAGAAACAACCTAAATTCCATAAACAGATGAACAGACAAAGAAAATACGGTACATACACACAGTGGAGTATTACTCAGCTTTTAAAAAGGAAATCCTGTAATATGCTACAACTTGGATGAACCTTGAGGATACCATACTAAGTGAAATAATCCAGAAACACAAATGCTGCATGATTCCACTTATATAAGGTATTTAAAGTAGTCAAACTCACAGAAGCAGAAAACAGAATGACACCAGCCAGGGAACTCCGCAGTAGGGGAAAATGGGGAGTTGCTTTTCAGTGGATACAGAGTTTCACTTCTACAAATGAAAAAGTTATAAACATCTGCTGTACAATGTAGCTACTGTTAATGAAACTATACTGTACATATCTCACTTACATGTGGAGGAATTTAGGCAAAGAAAAGAACAAGTCCAAATGCCCTATTGGGTATAACCTATTCAGTGAACCAAAAAAAGTCCATTACAAGTTCAGCATGGTGAGTAAGAAGGAGTGATAATAGATGAAAACTAGAAATACAGCAGTATCTGGTCAAGCAGGGACTTACAAGCCATGTTACAAGACTTGAATTTTATCCTCCCAACAGTGGAAAGTTTCTTAATGGATTTAAGTGAAGGACTGATTAGTCTTAACAGCCTTGCTTTTCTCTTAATGTATTTCAATTAATAAAATTAAATAAGAATCTCCCCAAAAAGGAACAAAAGCAAAATTTCAGAAATATCTAAAATTTTACATTTAAGGCAAAACTCTTATTAAAATAGAAATTAATACAATTTCTGGTTCTGCAAGAAACATGGATCAAATAATCTGAATCGAATATGAATTCAACATAGTTTCTCTACAGAATTTTGGTAAAGTTTGTCTTAAAATGGCAGGCATACATTTTGAATCTCCTTTGAAAGAATAACGCTAAAGCATTTATTCAGCCGCCATGTATTAAAAATGAGGGCACTTCAGCTAAAAAGTCTGATGTCAATGTACTTAATAATTCTGTTGTCTTTTTAAGCTCTGAGATGTTTGATTTGTATCTTCCCTGAAACAGCTTCATGTACCATTCTGTATATGTAGAACAAAAAAACTTTCTTCCCAAACTTACCTCAATCTCAAGACAGTATTTAAAATTAGAACACAATAATCTATATGGAACAATATCAATCTGGTTTCTTTCCCCCATTCTTGGTATAGCAGTCAACTCAAAAGGAAAGAATATGAGCTGAATGTTTACCTAATAAATTTTTTATTTGTGAAGGCTATGTGGTAGGAAAAACCTTACCAACAGTACAGCTGTCTTCAAGTACCACATCAACATTCCTGTCTCTGTACTCAACCCTGAAGTCCAGCATCCGCGGTTGCCTTTCTACAATTTGCCTAGATGGCATTACAGGTCGAAATGCTGAAGAGGAAGAGGGAGCTGGAGCTGGATGACTTGCTGGATCAAATGCAGGTCCTGATATAGTCTCACCTCCATAGTCACTGAAATATTGACAAAAAAGGGTTATCATCAACCAAATCACTGCAAATTACCACTAAAGACCTACTCCATACTTGGCTTGTGTTATTCTTCACATCAAATTTAACTACCCGTGCATCAAGGACTAACTTAAGTTCTAATTCTTTCACAAAATCTCTCTCACTGACTGAAAGCCACCTTACTTTCCCTCTGATAATAGTATCACACATATCATTCAATTATTTTTTTAGCTTGTGCTCTTACTACATTGGTAAAACATCATTTAAACTCTTGTGAATTACAGTGTTTTCTTAACCCACTCTGATTTACTTACCCAGTCACTAATTAACTACACTTTACACAAAAACTATTCTGAAACTTTCCCATTCCTAAACCAAATAAACAAATAGCCTTAACCATTCCTTCTAAGAACAATCTTTCCTTCCAATCCCATCCCAAAATTTCACGTTTCTTCTAGCTAATTAAATTTATCATTCATATCTCAGATTGAATATTTTTCAACTCAGAGCATGTTTTACTACCTCAGACTAGTGCTAACTTCTCACCACTGCCAATAATTATGAAGCTCACATTTGTGTTTTTATTGGCTGTATCATCTACCAAGTTCAATACTTTATCACAGAAGATACACATTCAACAAACTAATGAGAGGAGAAATAATTCTAAAGAATTTGGATTACTTTCTCTGACTTAATGTATATTTTACATATATATTTTTTTTTTCACTGTTTTTCCCCCTCAGTAGGAACAGTAGTGGAGGAGCATAAGAAATGCTCCTATTAAATATCAATATTGTATAATTTTTCTCTAACATCAGAACTATAAGCTCAGTTCTAAAATACCTTTCTTCTCACCCCGAAGTTAAAGTAAATTAATGGGTGGGGGGCTCAAATACAAAGGACAAGAATGACCAAAAACAAGCTAGGTTAAGTGTTGTTTATACAATTAAGGAGGAGAAAATATTTACATTTACTTCACATTTTAAAGGACAGAATTAGAGTAAGACTAAGAATAGACTGGAAGAGAATAGAATAGAAAAGAAATTATCAGTATGTTTAATAGTTAGAACTAAGTACTGTTTCAAAAAACTTTTGATACTGGGACATATTTGTAATATGTGTTTTGGATTCCAAATATTTCTCACTGTAGGTCACTCAAAAAATCTTAACATGACTAGTTTAGATCTTAACTGAGTTCAGGCACTCTAGTAATTGCTGATTCAAAGACAAAAACCTACCCATTCTCCCAGTTGTTACAGTCAAAGAAAGTAATGTGGGAAGGAACACCTGAGAACAAAATGTCCAAGCAGGAAGAATGTCACTGCTGGAATGCAAAGTGAGTTTCTAAGTACTAAGAAGAATCTGTGCAACAACTTCACCCATCTAAATGTTGTCACAATGTCTCAAAACCTAAGAAAAACAGTAGCTTAGTCACTGACTTATTGTTTCTTAACTCCAAATTAACCCTTGTATCAGTTCAGTTCAGTTCAGTAGCTCAGCCTGCGAGACTCTTTGCGACCCCATGAATCACAGCACGCCAGGCCTCCCTGTCCATCACCAACTCCCGGAGTCCACCCAAACCCATGTCCATCGAGTCAGTGATGCCATCCAGCTATCTCATCCTCTGTCATCCCGTTCTCTGCCTGCCCCCAATCCCTCGCAGCATTAGGGTCTTTTCCAGTGAGTCAACTCTTCCCATGAGGTGGACAAAGTATTGGAGTTTCAGCTTCAACATCAGTCATTCCGATGAACACCCAGGACTGATCTCCTTTAGGATGGACCGGTTGGATCTTCTTGCAGTCCAAGGGACTCTGAAGAGTCTTCTCCAACACCACAGTTCAAAACCATCAATTCTTCGGTGCTCACCTTTCTTCATCATCCAACTCTCACATCCATGACTACTGGAAAAACCATGGCCTTGACTAGACGGACCTTTGTTGGCAAAGTAATGTCTCTGCTTTTAAATATGTTATCCAGGTTGGTCATAACTTTCCTTCCAAAGAGTAAGCGTCTTTTATTTCATGGCTGCAATCACCATCTGCAGTGATTTTGGAGCCTAAACAATAAAGTCTGACACTGTTTCCACTGTTTCCCCATCTATTTCCCATGAAGAGATGGGACCAGATGCCATGAACTTAAGTTTCTGAAAGTTGAGCTTTAAGCCAGCTTTTTCACTCTCCTCCTTTACTTTCATCAAGAAGCTTTTTAGTTCCTCTTCACTTTCAGCCACGAGGGTGGTGTCATCTGCATATCTGAGGTTATTGATATTTCTCCTGGCAATCTTGATTCCAGCTTGTGCTTCATCCAGCCCAGCATTTCTCATGATGTACTCTGCATATAAGTTAAATAAGCAGGGTAACAATACACAGCCTTGACATGCTCCTTTTCCTATTTGGAACCAGACTGTTGTTCCATGTCCAGTTCTAACTGTTGCTTCCCGACCTGCATACAGGTTTCTCAAGAGGCAGATCAGGTGGTCTGGTATTCCCATCTCTTTAGAATTTTCCACAGTTTATTGTGATCCACACAGTCAAAGGCTTTGGCATAGTCAATAAAGCAGAAATAGATGTTTTTCTGGAACTCTCTTGCTTTTTCTATGATCCAGCGGATGTTAGCAATTTGGTCTCTGGTTCCTCTGCCTTTTCTAAAGCCAGCTTGAACATCTGGAGTTCATGGTTCATGTATTGCTGAAGCCTGGCTTGGAGAATTTTGAGCATTATTTTACTAACATGTAAGATGAGTGCAATTGTGCAGTTCAAGCATTCTTTGGCATTCCCTTATTTTGGGATTGGAATGAAAACTGACCTTTTCCAGTCCTGCAGCCACTGCTGAGTTTTCCAATTTGCTGGCATATTGAATGCAGCACTTTCACAGCATCATCCTTCAGGATTTGAAATAGCTCAACAAGAATTCCATCACCTCCACTAGCTTAGTTCGTAGTGACCCTTGTATAGTCTTCTGTAATTTAGGAGCTAGGATTTCTGAAAAATTATATATTTCCTTTAAAGTTTCCTGATAGACTTTGTCAAATAGAGGATACTAGATAGAAATTAGTAACTAGGAGGAGGGCAAGAAAGATTTCCTCCTTCCTGTTTACATGCATTTCCATTAGCATCACCCTGCAGCTTTCAGTCTCATGCTTTTTTCAGCATTCTTACAACCAGCTTCTTGTCATTCCCTCTAAGATACCAGTTAATGGCTAGACAATAAACATCCCACAGAAGTCTGATCCTCCATTCCAAAGAGCCCTTCTGAGATTTAAAGTTCTGTTAATTCCTTACACCTTCAAGTAGTACCTTCCCAAAGCAATTATTATACCTAAGTTACTTCAGTTTTACTTTTTTGCTCTTTTAGTCCTCCAAACCTGTTTAACTGATCATACATTGTGTGCTTAAGTCATTCAGTCATGTCCGACTCTTTTAAACCCCATGGACTGTAGCCCACCAGCCTTGTGGAATTCTCCAGGCAAAAATACAGGATTCTTGGGATTCTGAATTCATGGGATTCTCCAGGCAAGAATTCTTAAGTGGGCAGTCATTCATTCTCCAGGGGATCTTTCTGACCCACAGATCAAACCTGGGTCTCCTGCATTGCAGGCGGATTCTTCATCATCGGAATACCTCTGTTAAAAATACCCTAGAGTGTGGTTTCATTTTCTTGACAACGAAGGTGTCCCAGGAAACACAGGATTCAGGAACTGCCTTGATTATGGCCTTGACCTTCAATGCACTACTTAGCTCCTTGCCAATGGAAAATGGGATATTAGTGATCCAAGCCATACATTGGCATAATGATTAACTATCACTATTGAAACAAGTGTCTGAAGGAACCAAATGACGATCTGACCTGACCATTATGGTAGTAATAATGATAACAAGAACTGTGAGTAGGCTGCTTCTGACTCCAAGGGAGAGCTTACATAACAGAATGACACACTAGGGGGGTTTTAACATTTCATTCATTCATGTTAAGAATGTTACAGAGTTTCTGAAGTGGCACTTTTAAAGAAGTTTCTTATTTCTTGTAACCAAAGGTATGAGTCTCCTAAAAATCAGACTCAAAATTTAAGTTTTCAGCTTGCATAGCTATAGTGAAAGTTGAATATACATGCTTTTTAAGTCTCTCTTGTGAAAGTTAAGGCACTGTTGTGGAAGGAGTAAGGACCTAAGATGTGGAATGGGGATGAAAGTGCAAGTTGTTCAGTCATGTCTGACTCTTTGCGACCCCATGAACCGCGGCACACCAGGCCTCCCTGTTCATCACCAACTCCCAGAGTTTACTCAAACTCATGCCCATTGAGTTGGTGATGCCATCCAGCCATCTCATCCTCTGTCATCCCCTTCTCCTCCTGCCCCCAATCACTCCCAGCATCAGGGTCTTATCCAATGAGTCAACTCTTCTCATGAGGTGGCCAAAGTACTGGAGTTTCAGCTTCAGCATCAGTCCTTCCAATGAACACCCAGGACTGATCTCCTTTAGGATGGACTGGTTGGATCTCCTTGCAGTCCAAGAGACACTCAAGAGTCTTCTCCAACACCACAGTTCAACAGCATCAATTTTTCGGCGCTCAGCTTTCTTCACAGTCCAACTCTCATAGGGACTGTACTCTCCAGGCCAGAATACTTGAGTGGGTAGCTGTTCCATTCTCCAGGGAATCATCCCAACCCAGGGATCGAACCCAGGTCTCCCACATGGCAGGAGGGTTCCTGACCAGCTGAGCCACCAGGGAAGCCCAGAAAATGCGGATACCTGGGTGGATTCAGATAAAGGTTGGAACTGTGAATCCCTTGAGTCTCTCTGAGCCTCTTTTGTAAGCAGAAACAGCTCCTCCTCCCATGGCTGAGAAGACTATTAATATTATTACCTGAGACAGTTCCCTTGAAAGTAGATGCCTGTTCTTAAAACCTACCTCCACCATTCCTTACTACCTCTAATGTTAGATGTAGGCATGCACCACAAAAACAAGTACAACATATTAACTGAGAAAAGATAGCTTATATCCA